CCAGGCCTCCCTGTCCATCACCAACTCCCGGAGTTTACTCAAACTCATGTCCATTGAGTCGGTGATGCCATCCAGCCATCNCTACTCAGAAGCAACTCTAATTCTTTTTCCCAACCGCTTTAATAAGACCAGTTTTGCCCCAAATCTATACTTGTCACTGTCTGGTTTCTAGTTCTCTTGTTTCTTGATCTAAACTAGTACAAGGGTCTTAGTTTGCGCCCTTGAATTCATATCTAAGCAAAGCAAAGAAGGTTGGCAGGTGGGGAGGCTCCTAAAAGTGGTCTACTTCCCATGGATAATCAAGAAAAGAATAAACAAAAGGCATTAAGTCTCTAGTTGAAGAGATGAGACCACATGAAAGCTAAATTATTTAAAGATTTAAATAAGAATTAGAGACAAAAAAAGAAGTCACTTCAAATGATCCCAATTTAATTCATCATCCTTAGGACTTTCCAAAAAATAAATCTGATCATTTCACTTCCCTGCCCAAAATACTCACCCTCCCCTCACTGCCAGGTACCAATGGCCCTCTCTACTAACCAGTTTTTTCAGCAATATTTATCTTCCTCAGAGTGGTTTAAGTCTTTAAAATACTTCCAGATCAGGTCCCCTCTTTTTCTTCCTTCCAGATACCTATCTATGGGCCAACTTCACTGATCAGAGATCACTTAGCAGAGATCACTCACTTCGGGCACTGGCTTCCTTATCTTCTTCTGCCCCATACACACCCCAAAATAAATCCCTTGTCTCTATTTGCTATGAACACTCTGTAAAGAACTTTCCTGCTTGAGCCTGTACTTGTTGATTTAGCTGTGAGTTTTCTAAAGCAAGCACCAAGGACATCTAGGACTCTGGAAGTAAATTCACAACAGAGGACACAATAGTTAATACTTTAGTGAATGCCTTCGGCAACAAGGAGGCTCATCCAGTTCAGCTAGGGAGTCTCTGGGCCTAAAGGTGCCTTTGGGGAGGGAGGGGCCAGATAAGGAGCAAGACCTTTGCTGAGTGGGGATTGTAGGGAGGGGGACCTTTCATAAAAGCCTGGTGGGAGAGGCCTACTGGACAACGTTGTGAACTGTAATACAGCCATTAAAAAAAAAAATCTGGGACTTTCCTAGCAATAATGCAGGAAGCCAGGATCACAGGGATGAAGTGGGAGCCTGCAGTTTAGGAAGGACTCCTTGTGAACAACTTCAGGATAGAACAGTAATGTGAGAGAGTGGCAAATGACACCCCTGTGTAATCTGATATAGAAAAATACTAAAATGTGTCTACATAACACGTGGAGAAATAACACAAGAAATCTTAAATGGGAGCGATGTGGACACTACCACAGTATTTCTTAAGCAGCATATCCAAGTCACTTTGGTCTCCATTTCCTTTGCTTTGGAAATGCAGCCTATCCTAAAACATTTATCTAAAACACTATGGAGTAATCTAACACTTATGGGAGCCAGAAAGACAGGGCCACAGAGGTGAGTTACTTATCTTCTCAAATATTGACTGTCCGATTTTAAGCAAGACAACTTGCTCTGTGTGATCTGTCAGCTGACAAACTGCAAGTCATGTTGTTTTTGTTATCGGTTGTTTTTTGTTATTGTTTGTTTTTTTTTGTGGGTTTTGTGTGTGTGTGTTTGCAAGTCATGGTTTTGAGGGACTCATTTGTATTTAGATGTCTAACATCAGCCAACAGCATTTACTATGTGTTGGCCTGTTTCTTAGGCATTCACAATAGTGAATGACAGAAGATGCCTGCCCTTTGAGAATTTACAGACCAGAAAGGAAGAGGGATTAGTAAACACAGTAGATCTAGTATGTCTGATCAGTACCAGGGCAAGGACAAGGGGAAGCAGAATATTGTAGACACACAAGTCCAGAGAGTCAGGGAAATCTTCTTGGAGGATAAGCAGATATTAGCTAAGAAAAAAAAAACAGAGGCAATATTCCAGGCAGCGGGAATAACATATCCAATGAATAGCATAAAAGCCTAATTAAGTGTTCTCTTTTTGATGAGTTCCCAAACACTGAAATGCAAAAGGTGACATTTAGTGACTTAAAATTTATTCACTTAAAAAGACCATGCTTTATTTTCTGATATGGATACCTTTCTTACTTTGGGGGTGTTAAAATGTCATCTTTGATATCTAAGGACTTCCCTGGTGGCTCAGAGAGTGAAGAAATCTGTCTGCAATGTGGGAGACCCAGGTTTGATCCCTGGGTGGGGAAGAGTCCCTGGAGAAGGGAATGGCAACCCACTCCAGTATTCTTGCCTGGAGAATTCCATGGATAGAAGCTACAGGCCATGGCGTCGCAGAGTCAGACATGACTGAGTGACACTTTCCGAAGGCAGGAGGAGAAAGAACAGCTCTCACTCCTTGCCCCACTCGCCGGATTTTCTATGTATGTGGCTTCCCTGGTACTTAGATAGTAAAGAATCCGCCTGCAAAGTGGGAGACCTGGGTTCGATCCCCAGGTTGGGAAGATCCCCTGGAGGAGGACATAGCAGCCCATTCCAGTATTCTTGACTGGGAAATCCCAAGGACTGAAAGAGCCTGCCAGTTAATGGGGTCAAAAACAGTCAGACCCGGCTGAGCAACTAAACAACAAAGTTATTCCACTTAGTCCTCATACCTTTCCATTTTTTGGAGATTACGATGCAGAGAAGTTAAATAACTTGCCTAAGGACACAGAATGAAGAGTTGGGTTTGTAAGTAGTTGGGAGTGCCCAGTAGTTGAGCATATTAACAAGATGAGAAAGTCCTTTACAAATTCAAAAATGTCAAGAAATACCTCCTAGGTTCTTGGATGGGAACAGCCTTACCAAACTTCTGGAAAAATATTACTAAACATATATATGTCCAGATTTGAAAACCATTAGCTATTAACCTTGTCCACTATCTAAAGCTTGCATTTAGGACCAATATTTACCTCCTTTTTTCCCCTCCTGAGTACTCCCTAGATCACCCTAGTGTAAAAGAGTAATTTCTTAAATCCATTTATCTCTTAAAGGAATGATTTAAAGTGGGAAACACACACATACAATAGAAAACAGTGGGAGGAAAACCCCTTCAAGAATATGTGAGTTCAACTTTCTGTTAACTCTATTCTACTGATTTTAAGAAGCATTCAGAAAGGGTCCAGCTGCTGTCTGGGAAGGCAGTTAAAAGTAGTGGCCATTTCATAACGTATGCAAATGTTAAATCATTATGTAGTACACTTGAAAGTAACATGACATTGTACATCAAATATATTTCAATGAAAGAAAAAAAAAGTAGTGGAGAAAACATGGGCTGGGAGACAGAAATGAATTCGGATCCTAATATTTTGTTAATTTCATTATTTCTATTTTGTAGATGAGTCAGTTTAAGCTCAAAATTTTTGAAGGAGAAAAACTCACCTGATTTCTAATCTAATGCTCGAATGACTTGATGGTGTAAGGGAAATGAACAGAGCAGATGAGTAAGAGAGGTGGGGGTTAGAAGGATATCAGAAAATCTAGATCTAGGACTATGGTAATTTTAAGGATTTACTTGCTTCCCTATCTCCATTTTGAGTAGTGCAAGAGGTTTCACATCCCTAGGGAAGTAATTACCATGACATTTACTTTTAAGCACAGTTCTATCTGTAGAGTCCTAGAAGGAAACGAATATATCTATTTACCATTATTTTTGATGCACTGATGCATTTATTCAAAGAAAACACTTTCATGTCAATGCTTTTAAATAATTCAGTTTTACTATCTTTTCAAGTATTTATTTCACATATAACTACCTATAATTATTGTGTATAAATGAAAAAATAACCTAGAAGCTATTCTTTCAAGCCCAGTTTTACATATTTCATTCAAACAATTTTTTTTCTCCTACTGCTTTATGGTGAATTGTACTTTTCCCTTCATTTCTATACCCTTTGGCTCAGTAGTGTTTTGCAATATTGATGACCAGCTAAGCTCAGGATATTTATTTCCATCTGGTAGAGTTCAACTTCTGCCTCTTGTTTGCTTTCTCCATCTGCCCAGCTCACCATCTTTTTTTTTCTTTTCCCCTCCTCTTTAATGGAGGTCGGGTTAACCCTCTGCAGGCCTAATCGTTTTAGCAGGCTCGGGCCTTCGTATCCCCCCCTCCCCCGCCCCCACCCCCAGTTTGGCAAGTAGGACTTCAAGTAACCTTAAATGTCTGCACCTAGTACTTTCACAACCTTCAAATTTTATCTTTTTTTGTTTTATAAAGGACAACAAAACGCGAAGGCTAAGAGTTACTTAGTTTAGAAAAAGAAACAACCTTCGGTTTTGTGCATAAACGGTGTAAAATGCATTCTATAGATTTTTTTCTGTTTATAGATTAAACGTTACGGTTATCATACTTATCTTCAATAACAGGCTTTCTTATCAGTTTTAAGATGGGTTCAGTAAGGACTCCATTCTTCTCTCCTTTTGACTCTTGATGTCACTAAACAGCAACCATAAAAGGCTTACTAACCCTCGAGAGCCGGTTCGCTCCACTTTTCTCCACACTCCCTGTATCCTCAGCACTGGTACCCGCACCCCGCTGCTCATCCTGCCCGTGGAGGCAGCCACGTAGACTCGGCGTCGGGGACAGGATGTAAACACCGAGTACAGTCAGCGGGCCATGCAGACGTATCCGTGCCGCCGGCGCGGGTGTACACAGCCTAAGCCGGGCTGCTTTTATCTGCACAGCATTAAGCCTCCTCGCAGGCTAGCCCGGGCAGAGTACTCTTGCAGAGGATGCGCTGGCGCGGTGCCTGGAGTTGCTGGGGCGGGAAGGAGGAGCTAGGGCTGGGGGGGCGGGGCTTTCACACGCGCACCCCTGGTTTCCTCCTTCCCCCGCCACTTGCTCCCCCTTCTCCGGCTGCCACTCCGGGGTTTATTTGTTTACAAGCGGATTACGTCAGCTCCTCCCTCTCTTCCCAGTCTATGGACCCGCCCCCCTGGCCCCTTTTTCCCGCCCCCTCCGACTCCGAATCTGCTTGCGTCACAATGGTGCGATCTCTGGATTGGCTGGAGACGGCCGTCACGCTCCAGCTACGCCACTTCCTTTCCGCGGCTCTATAAAAAGTGCTGCACCACCCCTTTATCTCCTAGCCCGTCGGAGCTGGAAATGCAACTGTTGGGAGCTTCGGAGGCTGCGGAGCTGGAGGCGGAGGCGGCTGGGGAGGTCCGAGCGATGTGACCAGGCCGCCGTCGCTCGTCTCTTCCTCTTTCCTGCCGCCTCCTGTGTCGAAAATAACTTTTTTTTACTGTAAAGAAAGGAGAAAAAAAGTAGCCGTACGCCGCTCACGCCCTCTCTCCCTCTTAACCCTCTGACTTGTGAGGGAGCCCGGGGTGGCCGCTCCTCCGTCGGGGCCGCGCCGCCGAGCCCCGGCCGCCCCCGCCCGCCGCCCCCATGCATCCCTTCTACAGTCGGGCCGCCACCATGATAGGCGAGATCGCCGCCGCCGTATCCTTCATCTCTAAGTTCCTCCGCACCAAGGGGCTCACGAGCGAGCGACAACTGCAGACCTTCAGCCAGAGCCTGCAGGAGCTGTTGGCAGGTGAGCGGGCCGTGGTGGCAGGAGGGCGAGGAACGCCGAGGGGGGGAACGCGGCCGCACTTGTCGGAGCCGGGCCGTCGGGGCCGCGGGAGTCTCCGCAGCGCCCCGGGCGACCGCTCTCGAGTCCGGCCGCGGGACGGTGGCTGGCGCGCCGGGCGGCCGCTAACGGCGGGTCCCAGGGAGGGTTTGGGGGTTGGGTCGAGGGCGCTCCCTGGCCCCCCGCGGTTGGCCAACGGGGGGGAGAAGAAAACTGACGCACAACAAAGAAACTAAAGCCGACCGAGGCGGGAGCTGCGGTCCTCGGACGTTCCGCGGATTTGGGGGGACAAAGGAGCGCGGGGCTGGGGTGGGCTCGACGCCCCCTCCCCCCACTCCTGTCCAGCCGTTGCGGGCTCGGCTGTCCGGCCCGGGGGGTAAAACGGCGTGGCTGCCCCGAAGCCCGCCCGGGACGGACGTGCGGTCTCCCCGCGCCTCCTATCCCTGCCCATTAATCATCGGATTTGTCACCGGCACAATTACAGCCCTGCCCAGAGCGGGGTTTAGGGTGGCTGGTTTTCCTTCCCTTCGGGGTTAACACTCCGGTGGCGCTTCTCCTCCAAAGTCATAAACCCCATTGTGTGCGGCCAGGGTGGAGTGGAGAAAGTAAACAGGTTCCCGCCTGGCCGCCGGTGCCGTCCGGCTGGCGCAGGCTGCGCGCCCGATTCCCGTTTTGGCGGCTCAGTCGGTTGGTTCCCGGAGATTGTTTTGTCCCGTGCAACTGTTATTTCTAAAACCCTGCCCTGCTCGTTTTCCATCCACGCACATCCGCGAATGCGATGCTGGGCTTTTTTAAAAAAGTTGATACTCGGCATTTTCACTCAAAGGAGCCAACGGAAGGAGGAGACTAAGGCGGGAGCACAGTAACGGCGTCTAAGCATTGTTTTCTCTCTTCTTTTCTTCTATAGAACATTATAAACATCACTGGTTCCCAGAGAAGCCCTGCAAGGGATCAGGTTACCGTTGTATTCGCATCAACCATAAAATGGATCCTCTGATTGGACAGGCAGCGCAGCGGATTGGACTGAGCAGTCAGGAGCTGTTCAGGCTTCTCCCAAGTGAACTCACGCTCTGGGTTGACCCGTACGAAGTGTCCTACAGAATTGGCGAGGATGGCTCCATCTGTGTGCTGTACGAAGCCTCACCAGCAGGAGGTAGCACCCAAAACAGCACCAACGTGCAAATGGTAGACAGCAGAATCAGCTGTAAGGAGGAACTTCTCTTGGGCAGAACAAGCCCTTCCAAAAACTACAATATGATGACTGTATCAGGTTAAGATATAGTCTATGGATGGATCATCTTATAATGGATGGATAAATTTGATTTTTGCTTTGGGTGGGCTCCCCTTGGGGATGGATTATGGAATTTAAACCGTGTCACAGCTGTGAAGATCTGGCACAAGATAGAGTGGTAAAAAAAATTTTTTTTTAAGTGACAGTGCCATAGTTTGGACAGTACCTTTCAATGATTTTAATAGCCTGTGAGTCCAAGTAAATGATCATCTTATTTGCTAGGAGTGAAGTCCTAGGATGGTTTCAGTTTCTCCCAGACATGATACCTAAATTTTTACGTCAGTCCCTTTAATGCAAATCTGTATTTCTCTGCAGTAGAATTTGCAGAGAAAATTTGCACTATTCCACTTAAAAGTCGTTATCCTTTTCGGCAGCTCAATAGGAAAGCTCAACATTTTAAACATGGTAGTACTGGAAATTTTATGACAAGACTTTTACCTAGCACTTAAATATGTATAAATGTATATAAGACAAACTAGTAAGCATGACCGGGGGAAATGGTCAGACCTTGTATTGTGTTTTTGGCCTTGAAAGTAGCAAGTGACCAGAATCTGCCTTGGCAACAGGCTTTAAAAAAAAAAAAAAAAAAAGACCCTTAAAAAGACACTGTCTCAACTGTGGTGTTAGCACCAGCCAGCTCTCTGTACATTTGCTAGCTTGTAGTTTTCTAAGACTGAGTAAACTTCTTATTTTTAGAAAGTGGAGGTCTGGTTTGTAACTCTCCTTGTACTTAATTGGGTAAAAGTCTTTTCCACAAACCACCATCTATTTTGTGAACTTTGTTAGTCATCTTTTATTTGGTAAATTATGAACTGGTGTAAATTTGTACAGTTCATGTATATTGATTGTGGCAAAGTTGTACAGATTTCTATATTTTGGATGAGAAATTTTTCTTCTCTCTATAATAAATTGTTTCTTATCTTGGCATTTTAATCAATCTCTTGTCATGATTATAGAGGTTCAGCTAAAAGAAATACATTTCTCAAAAGACTTAGGTTCTGTAAGCCATGTGAATGTCAGTTGCACATTGGTCATGCTGAAAAACATTTGTTAAGGAGTAAAGATTTTTGTATACAAATTTAGGTGTTAGAGGGGTAACATACTTTTCTAAAAGTTCTAAAGTTGAAACATTGGACACAGTCCCAAGCTAATCGCATGAAATGAGGATGAGACAAAGGTAACATCAACCAAAAAAACTTACTCAAAGGATTACATTTCACTGCTTCCCTGTTGAAGTGAAGAGATAAACGTTCCATTCTGGCCCACCTTTGAAAAAGTTATTTTGCCCCATGGATTCCTTGTTCATTTAGAAAATCCTGGGGCAGGTGACCCAGTCTTAAAGACCAGACTAATCACTGCAGAGATTGGTTGCTTTTTGCCTTTCGTCAGCTGCAAGATTAACATAAAAATCACTTAAGCTGGAATTCAACAAAAGGTATGTTTGAATTTTTATTCTCAAGTTGAAATGCTGAGTTCTTGCATCATTTTCAGACTTCAGATAAATGCTAAGAACCTAAATGAAACAAATGAACACTTCGTGCTCGAGTGTAGATTGCTTCACTAACCCGAATGATAAAGCTGTTTTATTTTTTTTAAAGCTGTTTTATAATTCTTTGGCTTTAGGAAGAATAATACGGTTTTTCAGTACAAGTTGAAAATGAAAAATTTGAGTTTTTCTCTACGCAAGTATGTTACTAACATCGTGTCTTTTGTGTGGTATTCATGTAAACATGCTCAAACTGGAAATACACAATCTAGGTTATTTGGGAACCGGTAGTCCGAAATAAGTTTTGAGTTTTATTTCTCCCAGTACATTATGGTTTTTGTAGCAATAAAGGTATACGGGTTAAACAAGCAGGTATTTAGAATACAAAGGATGTTTGTGTACTTTACCAGCAGGCTGTCCTTGAGAGTTTGAATTACAACCATAACACATGGACTACCCTTGCCACTTACTAATGGTGTTATTTTTCAGTCTGTTCTTAGGAATTCTATCCCCACCCCCTCTAGTTTTTCAAACAGATTTACAATAAAATAGCTGGTAGTATGGTTTTTACACAGATCTTACCCCAGTGCTGACTGCTGCTGTTTACCAACTACATTTCATCTGCTAACTCATTTGAAGCTGTGTGTGCCTGTGCTCAGAAGCTAGTAACTGGTAAAGCTTTACACACTAGGACTGGGGCAGTTTAGGGGGATATATTTTAGTACCTGAAACTTCTGTCAAGCCTTTTCTCAGATGGGGAGTCATTCTTGAAGATACTGACATCAGACTTTTTGGTACTTTTAAAGAAATTTGATGCGAGGAGAACTTAATGAAAACAGAATTCAGGTGATACCTGGCATATAAGGAACTGGTAAAAGTTCCTCTTTAAAAGGCTTGCAAACATCACTAAGACCTATCATCCAGCTATTTCCTGTGACTTTAACCTTAACATTCCCCAGACAATTGTCTCCAGTTTAGTAACTATTTAATACACTTTTTCATTGCATCTGAGAATGTTGTACGGAGACATTTTGATAAAAGCATTTGAGTCTCTGTTGTATGTGTGTACAGGTGTGTGTCAGGCCTATACACGTAAGACATTTGTAACTGTGTGTACTTTTTAAAAAAAACTTTAATTGTGATAGAATTTTAAAGGGCATTTTACACTGCTTGAGTTAAGAGTTTCTTGGGGATCCTTTCTTAAAAGGATCTGCTTTTTTTCTCTCTAACTGCTTTCAATATTGTTAGTTGCCACTGGCCCCAAGATTCATATTTATTGGCACTAAGTTTAGAAATAATTACTTTGAATTTTAACAGGTAGTTTTAAAATTGCTTTCTTTTCTTCAAATGTAAATACTGCCTTGCTCTATAATGCAAGAATGAAGAAGGTTTAAAGTGGATTGTATGGAGAGAGTTACCCTAGTTCCTGCAGGATAATGGGGCTGTTTGCTTTCCCCCTGCATCTGGAATGACAGTCACATGTTAATCACTCTTAATTTCCAATATTTTTGTAATGATAGACTGGGTAGGCCTCTAGAAAATTGCTTTCTGGTACAACTGCACAAATGATTTCTCCCACATTGTAGGCAGACATTTTCACCATCTGAGCCACCAGGGAAGTCCTTCCTTGAGTCACTATAACTCAAATTGCAAGTAATGTTGTTTTGTATAGGTGTTACACATCACAGGATTGGCCTTCAAATTAAAAAGAAGTAATAATCCTGACTATTCTTGAGTTTCATGACCAAAGGTTTCAAGCTCCCTTTAATCTCAGGAACAAATAAATCTATTGACATTTTCTTTGGCGATTTTTAACATATCTGATACTGTCCTTCCTCTTTGCAGAAAAAAATAAGATTACTGCAACAGTCGTCTTCGGCCTATTGAAGTTTAAAGATACTGCCTCTCCCCTTTGCATCCTTATTTCAGGCGATATGATAAGAGTCTATTGATAAGCTTTGTGGGGAGATTTTGTCCATAGTTACATACACATATATATACTTCAAAAAGTGTATTTTGGATTGTCTGAAATGCTGGATTTTGTACTTACCTGTAGGTATGCAAATAATTTAGTCTCGTCTCTCAGTCTCTGCCATCAAACTTTTGTATATGACTGCTGCCAAAAGTATAGCAATTGTTTATTTTTCATGTTTGAAACCTATCAGTTTGAAAAAAATCTTTTGTAGTGAAATGGTTAGTAGTTTGTGCTACTAACCAAATCAAAACCAAGCTGCTTCACTGAGTCCTTAGGTCATTTACATGAATACAAAGGTGCCAGAGGAATTTGTGGGTTGAATTATTTCTTGTTATTTCTGTAAATCTCTTGTTTTCTTCTGAAAGTGAAGGAAAATCATTAAGCTAGATGTTAAGTTTGGTAATTTTGAGATGCTCCTGAGCAAGTAAGCCTTAGATTGTATCAATAGTGAGGGTTGACACCATTTCCTCAACAGACAATTTGTGGAGTATAATTGACAGTTATTTTGACTGCCATCTTGACTTGATGTACCAGTTTTTTTTGGCATTGATCAGTGTGTCAAACAGGAGTGGAAAAACGGTAAGGCTTCCCTCATAGGATACTCAATTTTCTTTTTTTTTCCTTAATGCTTTGTCATCTCATAGTTGAATAATCTTACAGGGAACATTTGGGAGTTCAATTTCTGACTTTTATATGAGTCTCTTCATGTTCATTTGTCGTTTTAGTGGGGACGGTGCAGTGATCTTTGGGGATTCTGCAATTATAGATGATTAATACTGAGAGAAGGACTGATTCAAGTCCAGGGTTGGATACAAAGGGAAAGGCTGGAGAAAATGAAAAGTAGGAAACTTAGCTGAAATGGAGGAAGTTAAAGGTTTAGTAATCAAAATGAATTTGCTGTGGTCGTAGATGTTCATCAAAAGAGGTTTATGCACCTTGGTCTTTGGCAGACAGTTTGGGAAATACTACTGTAGGGATTCTGTAACTCATGAATCTAGGACAAAGTCTACATTCAGTTTGTTTGTGAACAAGCGGGTCAAAGTGGTAGTGAGGTTTATGACCCATATTAAGTGGAGACTGAGCTTGGGGTAAGAGTGATGAAAAGCATAAAGCACATTCCTACAGGCATTTTTAAAGAAGTTCAAATAAGTGCTCAATGCCTTTGTCTCAGTGTTTTATAAAGGGAAAAGATTTAAGCTGTCTTAGAGACTTGGATGATGATAGCCTCGTTCCTGGTACCTTTAAGTTGTGAAGGCATTTGTGACTGCATTCCTGATGATAGAAGGATAATTGAGTGTAGGCCAGACACCTATCATCATAATAGGGGCCACAAAATGGAGAAAAACTGTCATTAACTGCATTCCTGTGTTTGGAGAATATTACATCAAACACTAATTATTTCAAACTGTACATTGATAAAGACATATTTACTCATGGGTATACTTTAGTAATTAGATAGGTCATCCCCAAAGTTATGTCATTCTTTTAAAATGTTGCTTGTGTTTTCATGTGTGTGTGCAAAAGCACATGGTACATTTTATAAAGAGATGTATGTATATTGGGGATATACTAAAAACTTTATTGATGGGGTGCATGAACAAAAAATGGAAACTATTTCTCTAGATTATCACTAAAGTAAATGAGTGTTTTTTCTCTCAAGAGTAAGCTCATTATTATATTCTTTAAGTGATGATATTGTCTTAAAAGAAGAAGCTGTTGTAGCAACCCAAAGAAAGTTGTTTAATTTTTGTTAATCTGCATGAGTGCTTAGTTGTAAAATTAAGACTTCTTTTAACACCCAACAGGTACCCCAAATTAAGTGCTAATACCAATTCAAAGTCCATGTGCTCCTGTATATTAAATTATGTGTTGACATGTTTTCAAATTCATATTTTATGTTCTTAGAAATTTTCTTTTTAAACGTTAGGGTTCTTGTAACATTTCGTTTATTTGCATGATTGTAAAAAAACGGACTTAATGTAGTAGTAGGTCAGTGCTTATTTAGTTTTTGCAATTATGATTTAGCCAGCAATCTCGTTTCTTTTCTCTCTTGTTCTGAGCAATCCCTAAATTTTTAGGAAAGGAAGATGACTAACCAACTGGACTTTATTTGAGAAGATTCTATATATGGGCATAAACCTAAAATGGTAATATGTAACAACTATGCTATAAGTTAGACTGAGTGCATTTTTCAGTCCTGATTTATGGCAGTTTGTTCCCTCAAGTCAATAGACTAAATGGAGTTGTATTTTCTGTAAGTTGCACTTGTAAGCCTTCAGGTTACCAGTGTCCGTTTTTATTTGACTGCGCAACAACTGGGTGAGATTGGCAGGTAGGTAGGTCAGTATTTTTAATCTTTATTTTATGGATAGAAAATTTGAGGTTTAGGAAGTTAAATATGCACCAAAGATAAACAGCTAGTAAATGGTTAATTCATAATTTGAACTCAGGCCTTATTGAACCCAGAATCCA